AACTCTTCGATTTCCGCTTCGATTTTCGCACCCACGAAATTTAACATCGGCGATCACGCGATGAGAAAAAAATGACCGATCGAGAATGCGTGCGAGCGTGCGTGTGCTTCAGCGTGAGAGTCGGTTCGAGAGACAGAGAAAATGGTATTATTGTAAAGATTACTTTAAAACGTGCGCGAATCAGCCGTAACGCGCGAGCAGAACAACACCGAAACAGAAAGAAACGAAAAGAAACGAAAAGAAACGAAAAGAAACGAAACGAAACGCGAAAAATGTAAACATCTCCTTCTTCTCCCTGTATATTATTATAATTAAACATTAATTATTATTAACGTAAAATAAAAATCTGGCGAATGGTGGTGACACATTTTGTTAGAATGGCAGAAACTAAATTACTACTGAATTTTAATTAATAAACGACATGAAAGTAATACAACGTATTTGCCGTTTCTTTATTTCTTCTGATTCGTTTGCCAAACTAATGTACCCGATGAAATTTAAAAAGAAAAAATTTATAATCGAAAGGTGAATTCTGATTAAAGAGTTGGTATCCTTACTATAGATTCGATAAAATCCTAATAAGCCGTTCGAGAAGGGATCCTAAGAGGGGTCGAAACGTTACGTTTGGAAACGAATCGTCATTTTCTCTTTCTTTTATTTTTCTTTTTTTCCATTCAAGCAGCAGACCTTGTTTAACCTTTTGCCAACAACGAGAGATAAATTGCCGATAAATATTGAAAAAAATTGGTTACCGGATTGCCGGTTGGCTGTATAAGGGTTTCTTGCTTACATCGAATTTCAACGAATTATTCGTCGTACCAAACGCACGATCCATAGTAGTATAGTAGGGCGTCGAAAGTACGCAACGAAGATAGTCTACTCTTTTGGTTTCCAAACATTCTGCGGAACAACGAACCAGCCGAAGAAACGAATTTCCAACACGCGATCGTAAAATTTTTCTGAACAGTTCCCTCGTTAGGTTATTCAGCAACGCGTAAACAATACCCAGTGGCAAAATCACAGTTTCTTCGATAATTATTCGATAATTATTTCCCCTCGCGATGCGATTCGACACGATAGTTCTGTTCACGGAGGAGCACATTCCATCGATTCGTCGAACGTTTTCGTTTCCCTCTTGGTTCATCCTTGATATCGCAAAGATTTCGATTGCTTGTAGCTACCAAACGGAAACCAAACGGGATTTCGTAATTGCGAGACTCGGTTCGTTTTCGACGATCTGCTCGAATCGTTTCCAATCCCGTCATATCTATCCATGGTTCCAATCGGCCGCGAAATAATTGGAGGTAGAATTCTGGTTGGTCCAATTTTTGCTCGCGGAAGCGAATCGTTCGTTCGGTTGGAATCGTGCGGTTTTTACTCCGATTGCGAGTTCTGTATTGGCAAGAACAGAAAATTCTAGCATTGCGCAACGGAGATTCGAGACGTTCAACTACTTTGCACAGCTGGGATTTTCGGTGTCTGGATTCGTTGGAAATTGCGCCGAACGTTACCAAAGGATACCGATAACGAGCGATACGGTTGATTAAAACGCAGAATGTCTAGTCGCGTATTTAAAATTAGACAAGGTTGTCGTCGATCTCGTTTCGAGTTTCTTATTTTACAGTTTCATCGGTGATCGACGCGTCGCGCCTCATACAACATACAAAATATCCAGGTTAAATTTCAAAATTAACTCTACGTATCCTTAATAATAAATGCTCCAAAGTTATATATATGTTGACACTCGTCTCCG